CACATTCCCCTCTAAAATATCGTATAGCAAACATCTTTGGCATCAGTCACATGTTGCCAAGAAGACCACCGTAAAGCTTTCGAGAAAAGGATAAACGACGGGGTGTCACAGAAATGGCCCATATTTAAGGGGCACATTTAACGAGCTGGATTACCCAAAATCGATAGTGACTTTCTTGATTCAAAAAAGTAAGCTGAACTGTGAGTTTCAGAATGTATCCTAAGTCGGCTAATTTAAGAAACTGGGACAGACCAACGGAAACTCACCAGATAAATTTTGAAGCACAGCATTTAACCAATCGTATACATACTCCACGAGTTTTAACATGCATTCGGGATTATTGTAGCTAAAAATACCATCCATAAAAAAACACTCCTGCTTGGTTTTCTTATTCGACTCATAAATAAGACTTTGATTACAAAAATCTAGGTGCATAGCTCCTCAATAATAGATCGTGAGTATATGGAAATGGGTCTTTTGGAGCGACGATTGAAGGATCTGTGGTTGGAACTGGGTCTGACGTCTAGCAAGATAACGTCTGAACGTTTATCGAGTGAACTGGCTTGCCCAGAGCAAAGATATGAACCATATCGAGACCTTCCATCAGGTTCTTGATAGGGTTTAGACCTAATCCCACAAAACGCAGTTTTCCTATAACATAAGAAAAAAAACAGGAATAAAAATTCTGTTCAGGAGTCAACTAAATACCTTCAGAAGAATCCACAGTATATATATATAGAATTGATTCGAATATAAAAATTGATTCTAATCGAAAAATTCGAATATATAGCTTTGACGTTCAGTAGAACTAGTCCACTTCCTCGCTAAAGGTAGTGTGGGAGGGGAGTTATCGACAATGCCAACCTTCATCTATCAAAAGGTACCTCGTGACTGAATCAAGTTAGCATGTCTTATATACCAGTGAATTGATGATTAATAATCGTAGTTGTAGTTACGTCACAATACTCCCCCACCAGTATTTTATCAGGGATAGAATTCGATGAACGAATACCACTTGTTGCTGTATTTGTGAAAGACCGAGAGAGCTGGATTAAGGTCACCGGGTTTTTGAGTGCTGAATGTGAGAGATGTATTAACTTCACTGTCGTAGTCACTCCTGAGTTGCATTTAGCAGTCGAGTCTATGCAGGCTGACGTTGTGTATGATCGAGACGAGACTGAGTAGCAACAGCGCGAGGAGGTGGATAATGTCGCAGTCACAAGTAGCAAGTCAACTGTTCAATGTGGATCATCCATCGAAGTAGGCGTTACTGTCAAGATAGGCGTGATCATATCACGTCCGTAAGTCACCAATGTGGAGGGAGGAGTTATCGACAATGGCAATCTTCATCTATCAAAAGGTACCTCGTGACTGAATCAAGTTAGCATGCCTTATATACCAGTGAATTGATGCTTAATAATCGTAGTGGTAGTTACGCCACAGTAGTATGCGTAAGTACTGTTATATGCCAGCAATGCCGCGAATATATGTTATTTACACAACTGAAAAATAGTTTTTGGAAACAATGAGGTAGGAAAAGGTTATGTATTTATCAATGCATTGAAATGATCAATTTAGCAGAGGATATCTGAAATAAGGAAGAGAATATCTCATATTATGTTATCTTAGTCTAAGGAATTTTTTAAAAGGATCGTCAATTAGTCCGGAAATAACATTTACTTAGTATTATTTTTGATTAAAAACGGTTCAAAGAATATAGCGAAGAAATTTTTCTAAGAATTTGTAACTTTAAAAATATGTTTTCCTTAAATTATTAATAAAACTCAAGAAAAGCCTCCGGCTCTATACTTTCTTTAGCTTCTGCATAATAGAAGACGTTAGTGAATTTTGAACAACAGAAAAAAATAATTAAAAAGTGATTTTCAGAAACTTGTGACTGCAAACAATTTTTTTAAGCCCTATTGTAAGGCTTTATAAAATTTCTTTCGACTAAATGCATTTTTCTCACTTCGATTAACAAAGTAAACATCGTTATAGTGTTTTGAGGCTATATAATTAGAAAAATAAAAATATTTTTTCTCGTTCAAGGCATTTGCAACTCTTAATATTTTATTTTATTTTTAGTAAAAAGAAAAATTACTTAATTTACACATTTTTCGAAAATGGGAATTTTTCTTACCCAACAGTACCATTTCTTCACATAATGCTTAAAATTTACACTATTCTCTTTTTCAAAAAAAAATCAAATTCTCTGGAAGTATGTTTACAATATTTGATAGCGTTGAAGATTTCGCAAATAATAGTCTAGTCCAGGGGTTTCCAACTGGCGGCCAGCGGACCTCATCTGGCTCGCGAAGCTTTTTTTTTGTGACCCGCGAGCCAAAATATACTAGTTGTCATTTTTTTGCGGACAATTTTCGTAGAAAATCTATATGGGTTTTAAATACTTTTAAGTTTTATATCTTAACAATTTGATATCTGTTTCACGTTAATTGTTTGATGCATAGGTGCACATTAAAGTTATTGTTGCCAGAATTTTTTAATATGCAATTAAATATTTTTAAAAATCTACTTATTTTAATTTGTAATTCAATACTTTTGTTTTGTACAACTTGATAAAAAGCTGACAGTAATATTTAACGTTCCTTCAAACATAAAAGAGTCCTATATAAAATTATACGGGCCTATACGGGCCTATATTATAAAATTATATGGCCTATACGGGCCAGCATTTGACTGGTGCTTTTAATTGCAGCCCCCGACCTCATGTTAGTTAGAAATCCCTAGTCTAGACTTTCCTGGTTAATTTAGATTAAATAGAATGTTTATATTTTGATTCAATATATAACTTGAAATTTCAAATAAATTACGGCTATGATCGACCAAGCATCTTTTCAAATTTTATAACTTGAATATATATTCATGTCGATAGAAAAACTTATTTTATTTTGCTTTCAAATACTGAAACTAAAAAACATAAAATTTTTAACAAATTATTCAGACAGATTTATTTTTAATTAAAAGACAAGTTCTTTCTTTCTTTCTTCTTAAAGAAATAAAAAAAACTCGACTTATGAAAACATTAAAAAATTGTATCAAGTTCCGCATCTCCTTGAATTCTGTGGCTGAATGATATCTGAATAATAAAGTCGATATCTTCTATCGATATGAATAATATTCTATCGATATGAATAATGTTCATGTCGATAGAAAACCTTATTTTATTTCGCTTCCAAATATTAAAACTGAAAAATATAAAATTTTTAAAAGATTATTCAGACAGATTTACTTTTAATTAAAAGACAAGTTATTTCTTTTTTTCTTCTTAAAGAAATAAAAAAACTCGACTTATGAGAACATTAAAAAATTGTATCAAGTTCCACATCTTATTGAATTCTGTGGCTGAATGATATCTGAATAATATTCATGTCGATATCTTCTATCGATATGAACAATATTCTATCGATATGAATAATATTCATGTCGATAGAAAAACTTATTTTATTTCGCTTCCAAATACTAAAACTAAAAAATATAAAATTTTTGAAAAGATTATTCAGACAGATTTATTTTTAATTAAAAGACAAGTTATTTCTTTCTTTCTTCTTAAAGAAATGAAGAAAAACTCGACTTAAGAGAACATTAAAAAATTGTATCAAGTTCCACATCTCATTGAATTCTGTGGCTGAATGATATCTTTCAATAGAACTGAAAAATATTGCTTCAAATTTTTGATGAAAAGGCCGTTAGTCTATACCCTGAAGCGGATTAGAGTGATAAATCTGTGAAATAAATTTTAAAAAAAATAGCGAGGAAAAGACTTCAAACAAAACATGCTTCTTGTCCAATTTTTTCCAGTTAAAACTGGTCGAATTTAATAAATGACACACAGAAAGTAATCTAGAAATATTTCCAAGAATAAAAGGAAATTAAATTTAAAACATGTAATAGTATTCATAAGATTATCCCCTCAGAGTTTGTCCAATAATAATTATCTTTTAGTAAGAATAAGTATATGATAATGTTTACACTGTAGATTATTTATACTGTTTTTAAAAAGAAAAATGTTTGTGCAAAAGAATTACTTTTTCACATTTATTTCCTCCCGAAATCTAAAGAAAAAGGCACGATTTTTGATTGACTTATACATTAGTAAAAATAATATTTGAACTGGCTATATTTGATACTGGCTATGAACAGCCGACATATTTATGGGTTTACTACTATCAATGATCAAGTCCGTAGCCTTGTTGAACCAAACTCAGTAGACAAGGGAACTCCTGGATTAAGCATTTTATTTTATTTTATAATCGTCGTTGAACAGCCGACCCAATTTTTCGGGTTTATGACTACTAATATTCAGCTCCAAAGCCTTGCGATTTTGAACATAATCCCGAAAACAAGAAAACTCTTGGATCAAGTAATGGGAGAAATTTACCTTCGTTGAGGATTTTTTAATGGAACTAACCCGCATTTGCGTCACATGGAGAGGAAAACTTACCACGATTAGCCTAATGGCAAGGGGACTCTAACTCATGATCCGTCTACCACTGAGGATATTTAACGTCAGCACTGTGGTCGATGCAAGCCAGATGCGGAATTCGTACCGACCGGCCTTCGCTGGGATTCGAACCTGGTTCACCTCATTGAAGGTGAATGCTCTATCCCCATAGCCGTCGCAGCTCTGGATTAAGCATTGGGATAAACTAGTGTTCTTGGAGGAATTTTTGATGGAACTAAACCTCATTTGCGTAACATGGAAAGAATAATCTCCCACGATTAGCTCGGTTGCAGGGGGATTGACACATAATCCGTCTGCCACTTAGGATATATTACGCTAACTCTATGGTCAGAGTGGGTCCGTGAGCAAAGTTCGTATCGACCAGTCATCGCTGGGATTCGAACCTGGGTCAGATCATTGGGAGGCTTGCAATATATCTCTTGAGCTACTGCAGCTTCAACCATGAATGTATGTTTAATTTAAAAGTCGATTTCAGGCATATGTTGCTTATTTTAACTGTTTAATCTGTTATAAATAGATCTATCAGATGATGGATGCTTGCCAATTTGCACATGAAAACTCTGGAACTACTGGTCTATTACAGGTAAAAGTTTTATTTATTTAAGTACTAAATTGTGCCAGCAGTCAAATTTTATAAAAGTAATATTTCTGAATTTTCATAAAATATAACATATTATTTTTTAATAAAATGTGCATTATTTTATAAGTAATATGCTGAAATTTGAAGGTATCTATAAAAAAGACAGTTTATAGTAGCCTTCCATGACTGCATCTTTCTAATGATAGTTATTAAGTAATTTCTAATATTAATTATAATTACGTAAGTATGGTTTCTGAAGTCATATACTAAGTAAATCTATGTTTGAATTATTTTTTTATTGTATTTTTAATCCATATCTGTTAATCTGTTTCAACAGAAAATTAACTTTACGTCATTTTTTTTGTTTAAATATACGCTTATCATTTATTTTTAAATAGATATGAGTTCAAAAAAAATATGATAAAATATGAGTTTTGTAAAAAAAAGATACAAATGGGAAAAAAATTGCAACAATTTTTGTAAATATTGTATTTTATCCGAAAATAATCTGCCAGAGGAGTGTCATTTATCAATAAAGTGGAAATTCTGTTTAAAAACAGATTTTAAGGTTATAAAATAATGTTATTCATTTTTTTCTTTTTTAAAATACTTAAAAAGTTGAATTTTATCATAAACTGCAATTTTTATTTTGAAGGAAGAAAGAAAATGACACATTGTTAGATACTGTTTTGGTAAAACAGTGTATGTAGGCAATTTAGTTTGCTTTTCTTTTACTTAGCTTTGGTGAAAAATATGTTAAGCTTAGCTTCCACGTTTTCTGGAACTTACAAACTTTTCTTACAAAATTGTTTTGTTTGAAATTTTTCTTGAATGCTAAACTTTATTCAAAAACTATACCGATTTGCGTGAACTTAATATTGTATCTTAATTCTTTAATAATCAAATACATGAAAAAAAATTGCATTATTGATGAAAAATAATTTTGTTTGATCATACAATTGATCATGCATGTTTCTCTACATATTCAATTTATGAGTAAATTTAAAACGGCATTGCAGCAATAAAGGTTTATCACTATTTTCTTGATTCATCAGATTTTTGTATACACGTTATTGTCAAATTACTCCATCCGGGAAGTATTGTGTCACAAAATAGAAGAGACTATCTGACAGAGGCTAGACTAATTAAGAAACAGTCATTAGAGAATCAGACTAATTAAGTTACAGAATGAAAGGGAAAAAAACATTTTATGGATCCAGAGAGCTTTACAGAACTTATGAATCTTACTTATTTTATTTATTTTGAACGAAAAATTGCTTAAAATGTTTCCCTTTTTCGTGCATTTCATTTCAACTGCAGTTTAAAATCTTTCGTGTGAAACGCAATTAAAGGAAATTTAAGGAATACATAACCTTATAATTTTACGCAAAACACGTTAACTAATTTAATATACTTGCTTTCGAAATTTCAGAACGTTGTGCATGTTTGCATAAATTTTGAACTGAAACTGAAGTACAGCTTTGAAATGAAATTATTTCCTAAATCTTAAACAAATAAAGCATATTTAAGAGTAAATCGCAATTAAAGTTTACGTAATTTTAAGTTAAACTATAACACGAAACTATTATATTATTTCTAAACTATTGTATTATTCTTTTTATATGATTCTTTCTTTGTATCATTCTCTAATTTAAATCATCATTCGTTTTTAAACCTAATTTATTTAGTATGTTTACAGTTTTTTAAAGTCAAAATTGAAGGGTTCAGCTGATGGCGATTGTTTGCATCGTTTCAAAAAAATTACAGATTAAAAGGTGCATCATCCGCAAAATCTGTAAATTGTTATTTAAAATTTTTTTTCGAGAAATTTCTTACAGTATATATATATATATATANTGCTTTTTTTTTTTTTGCGAATAATATGCTATTTTTATAACTGTTACTCATGACTGTTAAGTAAAGTTAAGCTTCTCTAAAGTCGGCGATGTCTACGCTTATTTTGAAAATGGAGCAAAATGTCAATATAGAGAAAAGTCACAGTTTAGTGAAAATGAAATGCGTTTGTGGTCTAATTTTTCAATATTTAAAAACTTACTTCAATGTTACCTTACCTAGGCTCATAAACATTTGCAAAAACTGAGAATACATGAGTGATTTTGACAATTTTCATCAAGGTGTAAAAATGTTGCCAAATTGGCGATTTTCAAAAAAACTTAATAACTTTTAAATATTTAAGCTATTTGTCTGTTCTAAGCCCAGATAATTCTATAGTTTAAAATCGTCGCATTGCTTCAAGTGTAAAACACTTAAACTGTTACTTTATTATTTTCCTTAGCAAAAGAATCTAAAAAACAGAGATAACGGCGTTATCTCGCTGTACCATTTAACTGTCGCAGTTAGTTCCAATCATATAGCAAAGCATAAAACTTATATAAAGATATCTCCCATTTAGTCATCATATTCAATTATGTTATGTTTGATTGTTAGATAGTTGTTTAAAAACTCTTCCAGCAAGGAAAAAAGCTTCTAGTGAAGAATCAGGGGGCCCCTTGGTTTGGCGATAAATTTCAATTGTGTATTTTTGCTGAAACCCCGTTTCTGGCTACCATGATATTTTTTTCTTGCTGTCTCTGTTTTTAATGAAGTCAGCATCGGATTACCACAATTTCTATTTACCGTTATGTGATTGGTTCTTGGTTTATTTTCACATATATACAAGGGGTGATCAAATGAAAAGGTTCGAAACGACGTAAAAGCGTAACAGTTAAATATTTGCATATTCCGCTATGGGAGAACGTAGCAAGACATCTCGGGATGCGATTAGAGTCTCTGACTGAGATCGGAGCATGCGCGGGTGCCCGCATGAGCAGGAAAGAGCAGAGGCTCTTATCAAAAGCAACGTCCAAATGATGCGACAGTCCGTATGAGGACAGGATGGCGTTCGCTTTTCAAAATTCGACGATTGAGGAGCAGCGAGGTGTTATCCGATTTCCTCGAGCACAGAAAAACCATCAACTCCGATGTGTACTGTGAGACACTCTGATGCCTACGCAGGTCCATCAGGAACAAAAGACCGGGTCTGCTCACGGAGGGTGTGGTTCTGCTCCATGATAACACCCGTCCACACGTCTCCAGAGTCACACACATGGAACTGGCCAAGTCCAAGTGGGAGACGTTGGACCATCCGCTCTACAGTCCGGACATGTCACCCTGCGATTTCCATGTGTTTGGTCCACTGAAGAAACACCTGAAAGGGAAGCTCTTCAACTCGGACGACGTACTCAAGGATGCTGTAAAGGACTGGGTCTCGTCACGGCCACAAGAATTCAGGGAACAAGGAATCCTGCGGCTTGTTCATCAGTGGGATCGTTGTGCTCAGGCCTATGGTGTATATTTTGAATGAAGTCTACATTTGTACCCACCATGTCGTTTCGTACCTTTTCATTTGATCACCCCTTGTATAAAATGAAACGAAAATGAACGTCAAAATGAAACGAAATTTCACATACGTAATGACTACTTTGATATAGGTAAATGATTAGAAAATTAAAGATTACCGTTTTTCCAATCATTTACTTATCATTTACTAATTTCTAATCATTTACTTATTTCTAATCATTTACTCATATCAAAGTAGTCCTAACGTATGTAAAATTTCTTTTCATTTTGACAACTCCTTTTTGGTGTGCTAATTTTTTTTGTCCATGAGAGTATAGATATATAAAACACGATGAATTCAACGTGGAGACCATACAATTTATCCTTAGAAGGGACGAGACTTTAAAATAAAAAAAAAGAAAGAAAAAAAGATATAACAATAAAAGCCCAAGCCTTTCATCTTTCTTTATAGAAAACTTAAGAGAAAATTTTTCCGTCCAAAAGTCCGGTTTTTACATCGTTTAAGAAACCCTTATACAAGAAGAATATACCCCGTCTGTTTTCTACAGTTCCTTTAAGGGTATAAAACTGTATGGGGTTATATTGCTTTATGGGATAGAGTTATTTTTCAGGTATCTATACTCAATAAAATTACAGTCATCTCCCTTTTCAATCTCCCTTTACGTATTTTTTTCTATTAAATCCTATAATTTCATTTTACACAAAGAAATGAAATTATATTCATGGACAGTTTATTTAATATTTTCATACAGTGGCTAACTTTCCAGTCTAACATGCAATTAATGATGCATATCCACCTGCGTTTTAATTCAACTTCATATCTCATAAAAAAAATGTTTTTTTTCCTTCTTAGGTACAAAAAGCGCACGTTGCTCAGAATTTTCTCTCAACGTATCATTAACTTTCTTTCTTTAAGAAATTTTTCAAGAATGTGGGCAAAGAAGGAGGGAGGGATTGTAGTTTCTTAATAAAAAAGAAAGTCTTTCGGCATCTTCTTTGAAAAACGACGAAATAAAATTGAAATGTTCAACGTGACTCGAGACTGAACACTTCATTTCAGCGCGTTTCTGAGTCACACTAGAACAAATGCGATAATAGAAGACAGAGAGACCGGCCTTTTTTTTTCCGTCTCATTTTTTTGTGAAACTTACAAAAAAGGATATATCGAAGAGTGATGGAGGTGAAAAGAGTGAATCACAAACATTCTTTAATGAAAAAAATTCAAGTTTGATTTCACTTCAGTGTCTTTTTTTATTACTTAAGTGATTTTTTGAAAGCAAATGATCACCTATGTATTCTTAAGAAAAAATTTACTCTATGCAAATAGCAGAACGAAACCTGTTTAAAAATGCTGACTTGTTATAATAGAATAGAATATTAAATATTTGTAAAAGTTGGCATTTGGTATATTAAGCCAGAATTTAGAGCACACATTGTGAAAACAATAAATTTAATAATAAAAATTGACAAATTTGAGAAGAGTTTTAAAATAACAGCTCCGTCTGAGCTCTAAAACAGTTCTGAAGTTTGAGATAGTGTCAAAAAATTCGATCACCAATGCTTTTCATTTTCAAAAAAACTGCGGCTTTTCTCCATATTGACGTTTTGCGCTACTTTTTGTGAAACTTATCCTTTTTTGTGAA